TGCAATTGATTCCAAGTTAGAAAATGATATTCTGAATTTGCCCATTGCTCGGAGAAAAGGAGTTAGATCATGCACTCAACATCCCATTGGGAATTTTATTTCATATGATAAACTATCACCATTTTTTCATGCCTTTACGGTTAGCATCACAGAGATACAGGTTCCTCAGAGCATTTGGGAAGCTTTCAAGTGTCCTAAGTGAAAAACTGCAGTTGATGAGGAAGTTCAGGCTCTTGAAAAGAATGGTACTTGAGAAATTATTGAACTGCTAAGAGGGAAGATACAGGTTGGGTGTAAATGAATTTTCACAGTAAAGTACAAGGCGGATGGGAATGTGGATAGGTACAAAGCAAGGTTGGTCACCAAAGGATTTACTCAATCCTATGGCATTGACTATCAGGAAACATTTGCTCTCGTTGCCAAGCTCAATACCATTCGTGTACTATTATCCTTGGCAACAAATCTTGATTGGTCGCTTCACCAACTCGATGTAAAGAATGTCTTTCTCAATGGTGACTTAGAAGAAGAAGTGTATATGGAAATTCCTGTAGGCGTAGAATCAAGATTCAATGTCAACAAGGTATGTCGTCTCAGAAAATCCTTGTATGGCTTAAAACAATATCCTAGTGCCTGGTTTGAAAGATTCACTAATGCAGTGAAAAGGTATGGATACTCTCAATGTTAGTCAGACCACACATTATTTGTGAAGCACTCCTCTGATAGGAAATTGGTTGTTATCATTGTATATGTGGACGATATCATTCTGACAGGTGATCATGAGGAGGAACTATGTAAGATTAAACAATTCCTTGCAAAGGAGTTTGAAATCAAGGATCTCGGGAACCTCAAATTTTTTCTCGGAATAGAGATTGCATGGTCAAAGAAAGATATAGCAATTTCACAACATAAATATGTTCTGGATTTACTGAATGAAACAGGAATGTTAGGATGCAAGCCTGCAGAAACTCCCATGGATTCAACTGTCAAACTTGTTAACAACGATGATAGTGCACCGGTTGATAAAGGAAGGTATCAACACCTTGTAGGGAAGCTCATATATCTATCTCATACAAGGCCACACATAGGTTTCTCAATAAGTGTAGTAAGTCTCATGAACAATCCTACTGAGAGTCACATGACAGGTGTCTATAGAATATTGAGGTAGCTCAAAATGACACTTGGTAAGGGTCTTTTCTTCCAAAGAACGATCAAGAGGAATATTGAGATATTTTCAGATGCAGACTAGGCTGGTTCAGTGATAGATCGCAGATCAACATCAGAATATTGTTCCTATGTGTGGGGAAACTTGGTGACTTGGAGAAGCAAAATCTGTTGTAGCCCGCAGTAGTGCAGAAGCAGAATTCTGAGCCATGGCACAAGGAATTTGTGAAGGAATTTGGTTACGAAGATTATTATCAGAATTAAAGGTTCCCTTGGAGCGTCCTATAGAATTATATTGTGACAATTAAGCCACCATCAATATAGCCAAGAATCCAGTTCATCATGATCGAACTAAGCATGTGGAGATAGATAGACATTTTATCAAAGAAAAGATTGAAGAAGGAATTTTTAAAGTTAGCTACACTCCAACAACCGATCAAACTACAAATATTCTTACAAAAGCTCTTGCTCGAGCCAACTTCGAAGACTTTATAGAGAAACTTGGTTTGATCAACATCTATGCATCGGCTTGAGGGGGAGTGTTGAAAGTCAAGCCGTTGATTGTATTTATTTGATTGTTTTGTTTCTTCATTATGTATTAGCTAGTGTTTTTTTTTTCTTAATTATTCTTTTCCTTTTAGAAGAAGATTGAATTCCTAATTGTCAAATCCTCTTAATTTATTTTTATTTTTTTTCTTTTAAGAGAGATTCCTTTTTGGAATTGTTTTACTATTGTAATATATTTATTTCTATCTTCTTTATTCAAAAGAAAAGTAGATCACAGAAGTGGTGTTATTTCATAATTTCATTCTTTATTTTCTTTACTGTATTTCCCGTGAAAAATTTGAAATCGAGTGTAGAAGACCATATCATGGGCCGAGTTTTTCATTTCTTTTTTCCCTTTAGTTTCCAATGAAAAATAATAGTATATTGGAAATGGCAGCAGGGCACGTTGCCTAATTGAAACGTTTGTTTCTTCTCAAATCACATAATTTGTGTTGTCCCGGAAAAGTGAGAACCAGTGGTATTTAAATATACCATATAATATATCTGAAGATATTTCGCATAGCGTATTGTTCGAAGGAGCTTGGGCATTTATAGCCTAGTAGTGATCCTCGTGTCCTTTCCAACCAAGCACTGCACATGCATGCCTTCAAGAATAGTCATTATATATGATCAATTGCAAATCTATTGACGTGAAATCCTTTACTTGCATGTGTTTATAGATGCTGCCACGTCTGTGCCGACATGGACTCTGGAAGTTGAGGTTACCGTCATACTGAGAGTTGGGTCCCGTGCTAATCATGTGCCTAGTTTAACTCATTTAATTGAGAAACAAAGAGAGATCAGGTTCAAAGTTTGAAACCAAACCTTCAATATTTGTTATGATACTGTGAGTTGGGTCCCGTACTAATCATGTGCCTAGTTTAACATTTGGTTCTCATTCATCCAAGTCTCTCCCTTCCTTATCTCTTTAATTTTTTTCATTATCATGTCGACTGTGCTATGAATGGAAAATTAAAATTTTTTTTTTTTTTTTTTTTTTTGGGTCTATGCTTGAAAAAGTAAATAGATATTTCTCTGATTGTCCTATGAGACGCGTGGTCTTTTGTAAAGCATAGGCTTATAATCCTTATTGATTACAGTAATCACACAATAATTGATGTGTTTCTTTCCTGTTGAATATCTACCTTCCAGTCTTATTGGACTACCCATATTCTTTCTCTCAACCCAACCTCTCTAATATGTAAGAAGCTCTCATCCTTAATTTCTTACAAGCTATACGTGTTATTCATTCCATATTTCGTTCAAGTTTTGCATTTTTAATTTCTCTCCTTCTATTTATGTTCTTAAACTTGCATTCTTTGCAAGTAATTGTTTCTCTATGCAAGTTTACTTCTACCTGCATATTGCATGTCTTAGTCTTTCATTTGTTCTTATCTTAGTTTTCAACTTTAAGAATTCTTACCGATCATAACAGATTAAAAAAATTATTAAAACAGTCTTTCTCAACTGAAAACTACTTCAAGACGTAGACATTTCCGTGCATTGTCATTCAAGTAATTATATAATTTCTCGTTTCAGTTATCTTTAAGCTTTCTCACGAGTCTTTATGCATTAATAGTGCAGTGAAAACAACAAACTAAGTAAGAAATGTATTTTCTTTTATATAATTAGAAAAAAGTAATATAAGTTTTTTTTCCCTCTTTCTAAATGCGTGAATGCAGTACTGATATTTGTATACGCTTTCCTTTAGAAATCTAGCAGCAAGTAAGGTGTCCCGTCTTTAACAAGCTTTAATGGTGAAGTCTGAAAACTTTGTGGAATACTTTAATCAGGAGGTAAGTGTGTTACTTTAACTTTTCTCAGTCATGAATCATGACGATTGTTTAAGTATTTACCAATCCAAGATGCCCCCTTGAACATCGATCTTATTTACTATGCACCGATTTGTCTCTCTTTTGTATATGTTGGGTGAAATATATATGCTTAATGTTTTATCCATATTGAATATAGTTCTGGAATGGTGAGGTCCCAAATCCCAAGGGCTTTGCAGGATTTTATATACACATTAATCCAGATATGAGCTTACCAGATCATTCTAATAGCTAGATTTATTAGTTTTGTTGTCGTGGGATCAAGTCATCTATAGCTTTCTTGATTTATCATATACTCCGAAAATTCCAAATATTTATATTTACTTTTGTATTAAATTATTATCTACGCAATATCTTGGACATGATAGCTTGACCAATGGAATTAATTGAACTTTCATGAAATATAAGTCAAATGATTAAACATGCATGACGGGGTACTTGAATCAACATTAATAATCAACAGGTAAAGTTGTTATCTCTTGGAGGTTGATATATAATATTTTCTGGTCTCATTTTCAAGAGTAGTGACATGACCACTGTCTTGTATTGTCCTGCAATGGAAGTCAAAAATAAATAAATAAAATAAAAAACAAGTGGCCTAGTCTCTTAAGACAACTCCAAGGGGCCCTATGAAGGTAGCTGGAGGGCACACAAATCCAGCTTCAGATGATCAAACGAACTCACAAGGAAACTTTAAATTCACCGTTGGATGCGCCCACCATGGAATATAACCTGGGTTAATTCTTTCTCTCTTCAATTAATAATTTTTTTAGACCATAAAGTCAAGATCAATGGGTGATGTTTACAATTATTTAACTTACTTAGTTGCATTATATTTTATATATAATTATTTTGTTTAAGTTAGAATTTGTTTTGATGGAAACGATTTATGACCGTGTTTGTAATTTTTTTATTTAGGGTTGATGACTCACACTAGGTCTCACTGAATCAAGAGATTATGAATCATTTATAATAGACATCCCACTCACTGTTTTAGCCAACGAAAAATTCTGCTTCAATATGAGTATCCAACTTCATCTTTTGTTTATTGAAGTACAAAAATAGTAGTACTAAATGTAATTGAAGTTTGATTAGAAAGGGCTAAACGCAAATGGATTTATAGGGGAGCACATCTTTTTGATCCTCTTCCCTTGCTAACATCCCATAATTACATCGGATCTTATGTAAGAAAAGAAAATTAAACTAAGAACGATACAAAAAGAGCATAATTAAAAACAAAAGCAAGTAAAACGTATCTTACCAAAAAGACATGCAATCATCTTTATCTACATAGACCAAAACGTGGAAAAGGAACCGCCATATACTGTTTTCATCGACAACGAAGGAAACAGAAACAAACGTGGTGTCCCAACCCCTTTCTTTATTGTCTCTATCTTTCCTACAAACTTTAACCTTTTTTGAATTAACATTCTCTACCCATTCTCTTTTCAGCCGCTAAACATGGACTCGGACCCACCATTTCGCCAAACCTACAAGACCCTCTTCGACAAAACCAGCGAAGAAACCTGTAATGAGGTTGTCACTGTTGAAGAATGTGAGCTTCCGTTGGTCGATCTAGGTCGACTGAACCTGGATGAATCAGAGATGGAAGAGTGTAAGAGAGAAATAGCTATCGCATCTCAGGAGTGGGGTTTTTTTCAGGTTATCAATCATGGAATTTCTAGAGACATATTGGAGAAGCTGAGAGAAGAGCAAGTGAAAGTTTTTAGGCAGCCTTTTGATACGAAGAGTAAAAAAGAAAGGTTCCCTGCTGGTAGTTACCGTTGGGGAACACCTTCGGCTACATGCCTCAAACAGTTGTCATGGTCTGAAGCTTTTCATATTCCTATGACCGATATCTCTGACTCTGGTGCTTTCAGTAGTCTCAGGTATTTTTGCCAACCTTTTATGTTTGCCATACTTGTGAATATGTACATTATTATCACTTTTTGCCTATTTTTCTTTTTTCATGAAAAATTCTATCTTCATTTCGTTTTCCACAAGATAAGGGTGGGGCAAGGGGTAGAGAAGCTTACCACAAAACAGTTATAAAGAGAGCGAAACATGAGGGTATTCATTTACAATAAGATTCTTTAATTACTTCACCAGTCTAATAAATATTCTCATAATATTTTTTCTCCGCCGCTTAATTAACTTGTCCTATTAGCCTTTTATTTCCATATGGAAAGATGCTGCCGGAAACTGTTGGAGGCATTGCTATATTATATAGTGTCATTAGACATATTTATGATTAGTGCATATGTGAGTTTGTGAGGAATTGAATCTAGCAAGAGCCCTACTTCTAAAACTTGTTGCTTATATGGCATGAGTTGTTCCAGTTCGCAGAGAGCATTTGGTGAAAAGAAGTAATAAGTAGATTAGTGTAGTTTTAATGAGAGCGAGAAGTTTGATGGAAAATTAATGTCTTACACATGGAACAAGCTATACGTGTTATTCATTCCATATTTCGTTCAAGTTTTGCATTTTTAATTTCTCTCCTTCTATTTATGTTCTTAAACTTGCATTCTTTGCAAGTAATTGTTTCTCTATGCAAGTTTACTTCTACCTGCATATTGCATGTCTTAGTCTTTCATTTGTTCTTATCTTAGTTTTCAACTTTAAGAATTCTTACCGATCATAACAGATTAAAAAAATTATTAAAACAGTCTTTCTCAACTGAAAACTACTTCAAGACGTAGACATTTCCGTGCATTGTCATTCAAGTAATTATATAATTTCTCGTTTCAGTTATCTTTAAGCTTTCTCACGAGTCTTTATGCATTAATAGTGCAGTGAAAACAACAAACTAAGTAAGAAATGTATTTTCTTTTATATAATTAGAAAAAAGTAATATAAGTTTTTTTTCCCTCTTTCTAAATGCGTGAATGCAGTACTGATATTTGTATACGCTTTCCTTTAGAAATCTAGCAGCAAGTAAGGTGTCCCGTCTTTAACAAGCTTTAATGGTGAAGTCTGAAAACTTTGTGGAATACTTTAATCAGGAGGTAAGTGTGTTACTTTAACTTTTCTCAGTCATGAATCATGACGATTGTTTAAGTATTTACCAATCCAAGATGCCCCCTTGAACATCGATCTTATTTACTATGCACCGATTTGTCTCTCTTTTGTATATGTTGGGTGAAATATATATGCTTAATGTTTTATCCATATTGAATATAGTTCTGGAATGGTGAGGTCCCAAATCCCAAGGGCTTTGCAGGATTTTATATACACATTAATCCAGATATGAGCTTACCAGATCATTCTAATAGCTAGATTTATTAGTTTTGTTGTCGTGGGATCAAGTCATCTATAGCTTTCTTGATTTATCATATACTCCGAAAATTCCAAATATTTATATTTACTTTTGTATTAAATTATTATCTACGCAATATCTTGGACATGATAGCTTGACCAATGGAATTAATTGAACTTTCATGAAATATAAGTCAAATGATTAAACATGCATGACGGGGTACTTGAATCAACATTAATAATCAACAGGTAAAGTTGTTATCTCTTGGAGGTTGATATATAATATTTTCTGGTCTCATTTTCAAGAGTAGTGACATGACCACTGTCTTGTATTGTCCTGCAATGGAAGTCAAAAATAAATAAATAAAATAAAAAACAAGTGGCCTAGTCTCTTAAGACAACTCCAAGGGGCCCTATGAAGGTAGCTGGAGGGCACACAAATCCAGCTTCAGATGATCAAACGAACTCACAAGGAAACTTTAAATTCACCGTTGGATGCGCCCACCATGGAATATAACCTGGGTTAATTCTTTCTCTCTTCAATTAATAATTTTTTTAGACCATAAAGTCAAGATCAATGGGTGATGTTTACAATTATTTAACTTACTTAGTTGCATTATATTTTATATATAATTATTTTGTTTAAGTTAGAATTTGTTTTGATGGAAACGATTTATGACCGTGTTTGTAATTTTTTTATTTAGGGTTGATGACTCACACTAGGTCTCACTGAATCAAGAGATTATGAATCATTTATAATAGACATCCCACTCACTGTTTTAGCCAACGAAAAATTCTGCTTCAATATGAGTATCCAACTTCATCTTTTGTTTATTGAAGTACAAAAATAGTAGTACTAAATGTAATTGAAGTTTGATTAGAAAGGGCTAAACGCAAATGGATTTATAGGGGAGCACATCTTTTTGATCCTCTTCCCTTGCTAACATCCCATAATTACATCGGATCTTATGTAAGAAAAGAAAATTAAACTAAGAACGATACAAAAAGAGCATAATTAAAAACAAAAGCAAGTAAAACGTATCTTACCAAAAAGACATGCAATCATCTTTATCTACATAGACCAAAACGTGGAAAAGGAACCGCCATATACTGTTTTCATCGACAACGAAGGAAACAGAAACAAACGTGGTGTCCCAACCCCTTTCTTTATTGTCTCTATCTTTCCTACAAACTTTAACCTTTTTTGAATTAACATTCTCTACCCATTCTCTTTTCAGCCGCTAAACATGGACTCGGACCCACCATTTCGCCAAACCTACAAGACCCTCTTCGACAAAACCAGCGAAGAAACCTGTAATGAGGTTGTCACTGTTGAAGAATGTGAGCTTCCGTTGGTCGATCTAGGTCGACTGAACCTGGATGAATCAGAGATGGAAGAGTGTAAGAGAGAAATAGCTATCGCATCTCAGGAGTGGGGTTTTTTTCAGGTTATCAATCATGGAATTTCTAGAGACATATTGGAGAAGCTGAGAGAAGAGCAAGTGAAAGTTTTTAGGCAGCCTTTTGATACGAAGAGTAAAAAAGAAAGGTTCCCTGCTGGTAGTTACCGTTGGGGAACACCTTCGGCTACATGCCTCAAACAGTTGTCATGGTCTGAAGCTTTTCATATTCCTATGACCGATATCTCTGACTCTGGTGCTTTCAGTAGTCTCAGGTATTTTTGCCAACCTTTTATGTTTGCCATACTTGTGAATATGTACATTATTATCACTTTTTGCCTATTTTTCTTTTTTCATGAAAAATTCTATCTTCATTTCGTTTTCCACAAGATAAGGGTGGGGCAAGGGGTAGAGAAGCTTACCACAAAACAGTTATAAAGAGAGCGAAACATGAGGGTATTCATTTACAATAAGATTCTTTAATTACTTCACCAGTCTATTAAATATTCTCATAATATTTTTTCTCCGCCGTTTAATTAACTTGTCCTATTAGCCTTTTATTTCCATATGGAAAGATGCTGCCGCAAACTGTTGGAGGCATTGCTATATTATATAGAGTGTCATTAGACATATTTATGATTAGTGCATATGTGAGTTTGTGAGGAATTGAGTCTAGCAAGAGCCCTAATTCTAACACTTGTTGCTTATATGGCATGAGTTGTTCCAGTTCGCAGAGAGCATTTGGTGAAAAGAAGTAATAAGTAGATTAGTGTAGTTTTAATGAGAGCGAGAAGTTTGATGGAAAATTAATGTCTTACACATGGAATTTTAAGGTGAAGACCCTACCAAACTTTTATACTGTCAAGGCTAAATTTTTTATAAATTATCTTAGGGACGCTTAATTAACCTGTATAATCAATTCGAATCTGTCTATATAATTGGTGGTGATAGCTGAAATATTACATTCAAACTATTGGAACTCTATTCCTTCATATTAAACCATCATTTACTTTGTTATTAATTCATGTGAACTATTATAATAGTCTCCATTACTTATTGGGATCCAATGGTTCACATGTTTACGAGAAACAAGAGATCTTTTATTGTGAACCCGGAGTTAGACATCTATTTTAGCTTTCTTTCAGTTCATTTGTTTAAATCAATGTTCAATGACATAATTAGTAGCTAGATTTTTTATCACGCTTGAAAGTTAGAAAACCTCAGCTTCCAAGTTGCAGCTACCTCCTTCTGATGAGTTCAGTCCATTTCATGTATAGTAGCATGTGTTAGTTTGGAAACGATTAATTTTTCCAAGTACTGCTTCCTCAGTTTGTGGTAGCCAATTATTTTTACACCTAACTCTGCTTCTGCTAACTTACCATATATCAAATCATGTACGATACTTGCATGTTTTAACGCTTTTTCTTCCTGTTCTTCTGATTATTACCTCCTGCTCACGTGATTTTCACTCACTCGATGCGCTGGAAGTCAGGCTACACAGTCCCACAGCATAAAGGAGTTTGATGTGGCCTGATATGGGTTTTATCTTGCTGATTATTGATACTAATGTTGGACCTACTTCTCCAGTTATGGAATGCATGCATTCATACAATTAACTAAATATATGGACTACTAATAATCTTTAAATTAAATTGATTTAACAGTATCAATTAATTCAATTAAATTGTTTTAGATAGCTAATATTCCAAATCGGTAACATATCCGATCCCATGTTAGTTCGTTTATTATGGTGTTGATTTTACTGCTCATTTTATCAAAATTTCAAAATTATTCTAATTGATTTGCAGTTAGGAAGGGGAGAAGTAGTTAGCATTATATATATATATATATCTTCTTAATTTAGTTTCCTTTTTTGCATATACAGTTCAACAATGGAACAGTTTGCTACAACAGTGGCCGGTCTTGCTAAAAAATTAGCTGGAATCTTGGCAGAGAAATTGGGCCAAAAAACCACTTTCTTTGAAGAAAATTGTTTGCCAAGCGCTTGCTACCTTCGAATGAATCGATACCCGCCATGCCCTTTTTCTTTAGAGGTACACGGGCTAATGCCACACACTGATAGTGATTTTCTCACAATATTGCATCAAGATGAAGTTGGAGGGTTACAATTAGTGAAAGATGAGAAATGGATTTCAGTTAAACCTAACCCAGAAGCTTTAATTATCAACATTGGAGATTTATTCCAGGTGTGTTTTCCTTTTTTATTTTAATTTCTTTTTGACATGAAAATTACAATTATATTCCTGGTAACTAATATTGATTATGTTGCAGGCTTGGAGCAACGATGTTTATAAGAGTGTTCAACACCGAGTTGTCACGAATCCAACAATGGAGAGGTTTTCCACTGCATATTTCTTCTGCCCTTCATATGATACTGTGATACAGAATTCTGAGCCTTCAATCTACAGAAAATTCAGCTTTAGAGAATATAGACAGCAGGTTCAAGAGGATGTTCAAAAGTTGGGTCACAAAGTAGGGCTCCCCAGATTTCTTTTAAGCCACTAAGTGAGTACTGCTATATATATTTATAGTAAATACAATTAGATTGTTTGTTCTTGCCATACAAAAGGTACTATGTGCAGCTAGGATATTTAGTTAAATTAACAAAGGTAGAGAAGGTGATTGAAGATATCTTGATCTTTGATGATCTTTTAGAGTTGAAATTTATGAAATTTGGCTGTTTGGATTTGAAAGAGTTTGTTAACTCTTTATGAAGCACAATGGAATGGTTATTATGGATGAGTGTTACACTAATTTCCTTGATGATCACAGCACAACCAAAACATCAATCAACCATGAACAAGAATGTAAAGCACACAAAGAGATACATGGTTCGACTAAAAACACTTTTAGCCTACATCCATGGGACTTGGTCCAGATCGAAGCTAATTTACTACAACATAAACCATTACAAGACAATCCAGAGTTGAATTTAGATATAGCAAAGTAAAACTCCATGTTCTACGATACACTAAACTTCACCCTTTGATTTCTTTAAGGTCTTGTCACAATCAGCTTCCACCAAGAATCATCCTGGACAGCTTGAGCTTTCCTTCAACTCCTTGGCTTAACTCTCTTTAAGCTCACAAACAATGAGGAACCAAGTTCTTACACTCAAAGATCAACAAAGTGATTGATAAAGATAAATCACAAATAAAGAGAACCTGAATGAATTGTACTCTGAAAATTTCAGAGCATCATTAATGGAAGTTCAGAAAATTAGGTCTAAAGAAACGACAAGGAAGAAGATGACCTTATAAAGCCTTGCCGAAAATCATTTCCACCGTACAAGCCATTTTTCAATAAGAGCCTTTGATCACTCTTTTGAAAGAGTGACACATGTAAAGAGACAAGGCAATGCAAATATCATGCACAAAATAAAACAATAAAATCAATAAAGAAAAGTGTCACCTATACTGGGAAACGGAATGTTTGCACATCAGAGAAATGTGTCCACGTAATCGGTTCATTTACAATCAATAAAAATAGAGTGTATGTTTGCACATTCACAAGATATTACCACATGTGCAAACTAACGTAGAATTCACAATTGTGCTAAGGAAAAAATAAGCACACAGAGTTCATAAGTCGACAATAAGACTTTACAATCTCCCCCTTTATCAATTTTATGAACAAAGCACAATTTGAATCAATCAAACAAAAGAAACATATTATGAATCAGAATCAACACAAAATGCACATGACATGAAAGAAAATAAAAACACAATATCTGAAACAAAGAACAAACAAAAACATACAGATATGTGGAATCAAAAAGCAATGAACCAGAAATTGTTCAAACAAAACAATACTTCTAAACATTCAGCAAAAGTTAAAAACAAATGTGTAAGTTATTTGTCAACTTATGATTCTAGTGTAGTAATACTAGTCATGGTATAAGTACTTCATGTTGATTCTTGCACAATCATTTCTATTTTATTTCCATTGTGATGACTCTCTGTCGAAGTGACCACTTTCAATTAAGTCAGTTTTCTATATATCGTGTGAGCACCTTAGAGTCTAAGTAGTCACACGCGTCTGACATATATTTTGCATAACACATATTGTATTTTGTTATTTTGTGAATTGTTTTTATTCTCTTATGAGATATTGTTTGTGGTTGAAGTTTCTTGAGCGGAATTGAAAAGAGGAATTAAAAACAGAAAAAAGTTGAGAGAATCGTCTAGAGTAGTACCCAAGCTAAAGAGAGAGAAAATGTGTGTTTTCTTTCTATTAACTGACTTCTTCAAAAACAATAACACCAGAAACCTCTTATATAGAGACTGAAATATTACAAAAACGGTATGTCTTACTTACTTATAAACTTTACAAAGCACACCCCAAGTATTACTTACAAAGTTTACAAGATCACCCTTACTGGCTTTTATTGCTAATATTCCCCCTTAAACTAAAGCGTCTAAACACTTGTCAAAACTGCCAGTCAAATCTGCCTTTACTTAACCATCCTTATGCTTAATATTTCCCCATAAACCAAAATCTCTGAGTAATTTCAGTTCAGGCTCAAATTCAAATTCATACACAACCAGTGAATGCTCCAGCAACATTTTCTAGTTGTATAGCATATCAGAAAAACAGAACAACATTTCATTACCATTCCAGCAACATTCTTTATTAGTAGCACAACATATCAGAAATAGAATCAACATTTGCACTAGCATTCCATTACCATTCCAGCAACATTCTTCATCAGTAGCACAGCATATAAGAAACAGAGCCAATATTTGCACTAGCATTCCAGGGGCATAGTTCAGTGACAAAAATAAAATAAAATAAAGGAAGAAACAAAACTTTCTACAGCAAAATATTTCAGCAATACACTTTGAGTAAACACATATTACCCTTCAACTAAATACTTCTCCAGCATATTCCAGTAATGTAGACTCACACATTAACCATTTTAACCAAACCACATCAACACCTTAACACTCTGATCATCCAGAACATCAAGCTAAGAGCAAACAATTCAACTATAACCTGTAATCACATATCACATACACTCAATTAAGTAGGTAGCATAGAAGTCACATTGAGTTTTTCTTTTAAATAATTAAACTGATTGCTGGGAAGAGCTTTGGTCAAAATATCTGCCACTTGATATTCAGAAGCCACATATTGGACACTCATTTGCTTCTTTGCCACCAGATCTCTAACATAATGCACATCAATTTCGATGTGCTTGGTTTTAACATGGAATACAGGGTTTGAGGACAAGGCTTCAGCACTCATGTTGTCACACCAAATAACTGGACAACCATTCACCGAGATGCCTATTTCTTCAAATAAATTTTGAATCCACATAAGTTCGATAGATTGCTTGGCTTAGGGACCTGTATTATGCTTCTGTGGATGATAAAGAAACCCTTTTTTGTTTCTTAGTACTCCACTGAACCAGATTACCTCCAATGAACATAGCATACCCACTGGTGGACCTTTTATCATCCATATCACTGGCCCAATCTCCATCAGCATAGCTTCCACCATAAAATGCTGCTTCTTAGTAAATAAGAGGTCATGATTTAGAGTGCCTTTTATATACCTTAGCACTCTCTTGCAGGCCATCCAATGATTAGCAGTAGGTTGTTGTAGGAACTGGCTTAGTTTGTTCACAACAAAGGCAAGATCAGGCCTGGACAAAGTTAAGTACTGCAGGCCCCCGATGATGCTTTTGAATAATGAAGGCTGATCAAAGACATCACTATCTTCCTTTCCCAATCGAACTCCAGTAGCCATAGGAGTGTTACAAGGCTTCGATTCATGCATACCAACCTTTACTAACAACTCTTGAGCATATTTGCTTTGTGTTAACATCAATCCCTTGCTATTTCTATTGACCTCAAAGCCAAGGAAGTAGTTTACAGGACTAAGTGTCTTCAAAGCAAAATTATTATTCAAATTTGCCACCATTTCATCAATCAATTGCTTATTATTACCTGTCACCAAAATGTCATCTACATAGACTAGTAAATAGACTATATGACAGTCCTTCTTAGAAAAGAACAAGCTAACATCAGAGATAGAATTCTGAAACCCCCAACTAAGGGCAGTTTTTAATTTCTCAAACTAGGCTCTTGGGGCTTGTTTAAGGCCATATAAGGCCTTATGTAGCTGACACACCTGCCTAGGTTGAGATAAATCAGTAAAGCCTTCTGGTGGAGTCATAAAGACTTGTTCAGTCAATTCCCCATTAAGGAATGCATTATTGACATCAAGTTGTTGCACTTCCCATTCATTAAACACAGCCAGAGACAAAACAATTTGAATGGTTGCTGCCTTAACTACAGGTGAGAAAGTTTCAAAATAGTCAAGGCCAGGGTTTTGTTGAAACCCCTTGGCCACTAGCCTAGCCTTATACTTGGATAGAGAGCCATCTTAGTGAAGTTTAGTTTTAAAAACCCACTTACTGCCAACAACATTCATTCCAGCTTCATAAGGTACTAGGGTCCAGGTTTGGTTCTTTAATAAGGCTTGATATTCAACCTCCATGGTTGCTTTCCATTCAGGAGTTTGTAAGGCTTCAGTAATGGATTTCGGCTCAGATAATATAGTGTTTGTAGAAAGAAGAGCTTGAGGTAAATTAGCAAGTGCACAACTCTTAGACCTGGTGATCATTGGGTGAACATTTTGAGTTCTGACAAGAGCTTGGACAAAAGACGTAGAAGCTGCTATGGGAAGCACTACTTCAAGTTGAATTCCAGGGTTGTTTTTGGCTGTAGAGAAAACTTCAGAGATGCTCATAGGAGAGTGAAATCTATGAAAATCATTACCAGGAGGGGCTACTTTTGGAGGAGACAAGGTGCAGTCTTGAACAGATGTTGTAGTTGAATATGTAGATCTAAGAGTTTCATTCGGACACAAAACAAAACCTGAAGTTGAGGCCTTAGATATTAAGGAGGATTGTGGTAGTGGCCAGGGCTGGGAGACAATATTGAAATAAGAAGATACAGCAATGGAAGTGGTAGGCTCTACAGGTTGAAATCCTGATTTAAATGGGAAATTTGTCTCCTGGAACTTCACTTGTTTCACTATAAACACTTGGCCAAAGGAATTCATACATCTATACCCTTTATGATCAAGGATGTATCCTAGGAACACACATTTCTCAGTATGGAAAGACAACTTATGTTTTTGGTAAGGCTTAAGGAATGGATAGCATGAGCAGCCTAAAACTTTCAAATCTGTATAGCTTGGTGACTGTTGGAATAATGTTTCATAGGGTGAAGCAAAATCTATAGAAGTTGAAGGAAGCCTATTTAGAAGATATACTGCTGTACTAAATGCTGACCACCAGAATTTTAGGGGCATGACAGCATGAGCTAGTAGAGATAATTCAAATTCAGTAATAGTTTTATGTTTTCTTTCCACTCTTCCATTTTGTTGATGAAATTATGGATAGGGATGTCTATATCTAATGCCATGTTTCCGTAAGTAACCAGAAAAAGGTCTAAATTCTCCTCCCTAGTTTGTTTGCAAACACTTCAGTTTTT